GCTTGATCTTCCAGAGGACCTGGGTTCGATTCCAAGCACCCACACGGTGTTTCACAACCATCTATAACTCCAGTCTTAGGGGATCTGACCCCCTTTTCTGGCCTCCATAGGCACAGCACACATGCGGTGCACAGACATCCATGCTGGCAAAAGATCCATACATATACAATAAAAATGTTAAAAATGTTTTTAAAGAAGACATAATAGAATGCCTGCTGACATCATAGTGACTCTCCTGTCTCAAGGCCCTACACAAGACTTACCACACCATGCTGCTTCTCTGACCTCACTGCCGACCCCAATCCTGTCCTCCCAGGTATCTACAGAGCATCATACCAGTCTCCTTGTGGATCTCTGAACACATCCAAATACAGATCACCCAACAGACCAAACATTTGGATTGGCCCTTTCCTCAACCTGCAATTTTCTCCATTCTGTAAATACGTAAGTGTATATACTCTGTCATATTTCCATATGCACTACACAGATTCCCTTGTTCTAATGCATAGAGATTCGCATTTATATTGGCACTGATATCCACTTCCCTACACATGCTGACAGCACACTGGGACTTCCTTTCAAGTCTCCGTTTGGGGTCACTTTCTCCGCACAGCACACTCTGCCACATTTGCCATTCCGCCGTGCTACATCATTTCCTTTTTTGTTTGACTTATTCTCCAGGCCTCCCATAGCATGAAAACTCCACACGGGTGGCACTCGTTTGATTCTCTGGCATACAGCCAGCACCAACGTCGGACACTAACTCATAAAAACCCAGTTGAGTGAGTACGTGAACAAGTGGGATTCTTCCTTTTCCCCTGTAACCACCGATCTGTGGATGGATCTTTCTTTAAGACTTAAAACAGAACATTGTAGGCAATCGAAATTCTAAGCAAAAACATTGTAGCAACAAATGGTGTTAAAACCAGACAAGATCAGGAACTGATTTAAAATTTGGAAAGACTAAATGCAGAGAATTCGTTTAAAAGCCAATCCATGGAAGAAATTAAATATGCAATTTCCTAACGACCACGGCTTCTTAGTGGTTTGTTTTATCCACACAATAGCCATAACTATAAATATTCTGTTAACATATGCAAGCACACACCTAAACATACAAGTTGAACAAATCCAGAAGAAGCTAAGGTGAATATTCTTTATATAAAAGCTAGCAATCTGAAATCCAGGTGGAGACGTATGTCCACTCAGACGACTGGAGTTCCAAGCCAACCAAAGCCACCTAAAAGACCAAAGTTCACAAATTTTTTTTTAGGTTTAGTTATTCTCTTTATACATGTGTATGTGTGTGTGTGCTTGCCTGTGTTTGTGCACACCACATGTGTAAATTTGCCTGGGGAGGCCAGAAGATGATGTTGTATCCCCTGGAACTGGTTGTGAGCCACCTGACTGGATGCTGGGGGCCACACCTAATCTGCAAGGACAGTAGGCACTCTTAACTGCTGAGCCATCTCTCCAGCTCCCCAAGTTCACGATCATAATTAGGATAGCCATACATGCTGGTTTCCCTGGTGTACTGTTTAATCTTGACTGTAAACTTACTTACTTGGATTTTAAAATCATCATGGAAATGAATCTCGGGTCACATCTGGAAGGGACTTCCTAAATGGGCTTAAGTGATATGGGAATATAAACAATTCCCAAGGGCTGGGGTCCCAGACTGAATACATAGGAGAAAGCCAGATGAACAGGAGTTATTCATTAGTTTCTGATTCCTGGCTGTGGATACAATGTAACCAACCACCTCAGAAATTCCATCTTGCCTGCCATGATGGACACTATGCCCTTTAACTATAAAGGTAATAAACCCCTCCTTCTTAAGTCAGATATTTGATCATAGCAACAAGCAATATGACTTAGAAATCCGAGCTAGTTCTATTGGTTGGCTTGGTGCCCTTTCCAGTTAGTACCACATTCTACTCACAAACATGTCCTTGACTGGAAAAAAAATTACTTAGTCATCATATTTCTAAAGAAGATAAATAAATTTTATTCTTATTCAGATCTGCTGACCAAGCTGTTAAGGACTTTGGTGGCCTGAGTGCTAAGAAGGAGACAACCCATAAGTAATACCTCCTGGCCAGCACTACAAGTGAACTGTCAGAAACAGACATGTTTTCCAGCAAAAGTCATGGAATCAGGGGCCCAAAACTTCATATATACAAAGCCCAAACCCTCATCAGGTTACTCGCACAATGAAAATTTGCACAGGCTCTATATTTTATTTTCTTACGCGTTCCCTATGAAACACTGAGACCAAAATCCCACTGGAAACAGAACAGAGTACAGAGAACAAAAGCGCCCCTATTGTCCGGGGAAACTACAAGAATGTGGAGTCAAGACTATACAGAAGCATCTGTGTTCTGGACTCTCAGCAAATATCCAAGAACTGTGTCTCACCCTAGATGGTGGAGCAGGCATTCATGTGTGTAAGCACCACGTAAACACTCAATCTACAATCAAGGTTTGGAGCAACTGTCCTCCCAAATCGCAGAAGTCATCCAATTTGTGTCAGCCTTAAATAAAGGGCAAGAGGTAACTCTTGCTGTCTTGAAGACAGTAATGGGCTGAGAACCACAACAGCCTCTTCAGGACTTAGCACGCCTTCCCTCCACGTGCAGAAATGGATCTCATTCTTTCATTTTTCCCCACTATGTCTTTTTCTTTTGTATTTTTCAGGTTCAACTGTCTTATTTTCTTACTGAATATTTAAGAAGTAAGAGACTGCCACTAAGCACGCTCAAAATCTGGTGTCAGCTAAGCACGGTGGTACACACCAACAATCCCGGTATTTGGAAAACAAGAGGACCTTGGTTTCAAGGCCAACCTAGGCTATATGGTGAGACCCTGTCTCAAAGAAAGAAAGAAAGAAAGAAGAGAGAAGAAAAGAAAAACGGAAAGGAAAACTGAGGTCAAGAGAGGGTTGGTGAATATCACCAAGACGCCTTCATTTCCAGAGGGATCATATAATTTATCATCCGAACCAGGAAACTTTTAAAAGTGGAGATAAGCCAGTAGTAACAAAATGGACCATTGCAGGCAAAACAGGTCTGGTCGCCCTTCTAATCTCTCCTCCATATCATTCACATCCTGAGGCAGCTTCTTGGGCCTGGAGAAGGGACCCTGCCCCTGCTGAAGCAACTAAACTTCACGCCCAGGCCTAGAAACAACGAAGTGTCTTAGGCTGCTAGTTCCTATCCAACACACCATGCTGAACTACCCCATCCTCCCACCACCACATCCTCCACCCCCCCTCAACCTGCAAACCCCCACCTCCACTCCCCCACCACCTCCTCCACCCAGGATTAAGCAGGTAGCAGTTCACTACTGAGCGCCACAACAGGCCAGGTCCGGAGCAAGCCCAAGCCAGGAGCGTATTTTCTTTCAAAGGAACAATCACGACATGGATGGCCACCCATGAGGACACAGACATCGGGCACAGACTGAATAGCAAGGATTTAAGATATCAGATCGTTGCATTGATAACAGAGTACATTCAACACCCAGCAGAGCCCCAAAGCCATCCCTTCCTGCAAACAATCCCCAAGAAAGAAAGCCATTGTATCTGTCCTCAAATACAGTAACAACTTGGGTTTCTTTTTCCTTTGCTGAGGTCAGTGTCAGTGGTGAAAAGAGTCTGAAAAGAGCAAGAATGAATGTTTTCCTCCTTGGAGCACAGGGCCCAAGTTCTTCAGAGTCCCAGCTCTTTATCTCAAGTCTCTTGCACAGCTCAGCCAAACGCTATTGGATCATGAAGTTTAGTCTCGTGGCTGGTTAAAAAAAAAATCAATTTGCTGAAATATTTTCCCTCACATTCATAACAAACGAAAACCAATGTTTGATCAAGTTGCAATCTAGAGCATGAAATCTATAGAAGCAGAAGATCTACAGCTAGATTATCAAATGTTCAGAATGACTTTGAGTTCCTCACTGACATCATAACGCTTCACAAAGATGCACTGCCAAGAGGCACCCCAACCTATGATGGGTGTCACAGGGAAGCAAATGTCTAGGGACAGGTACATCATCGTGGAGGTAAAATAATGCCAAGAGTTGAGAGTTTGGGGACAAAGGTGGAGGTCAGGAAACCACCTGCCAAGGAGATATAAAAGAAAACACTGAGGTCCTTGCAGCTTGGAGACATTGGGAGTCCAAGGTGCCAAACATACGCAGGGACCAAGAGAAGTGGGACTATTCCCCCCAAGGTGGAAGATACTTTTAAGTTCAAAGGCATCTATCTGTGTTGCTGTAGCTGTTTAAACTGTCTTACCTATGCCAATGTACTAATAAAACAAACAATTCAATGATGAGTTTTGAAACGTGTAAAAGAAAGAAATTGTGTCGGTTGCTGAATAACAAATGTCCCCTTTAAGAGGTCAACATTATGACTTTCTTGCCTTTGGCCTCACTTTGCTGCGCCTCCCAATAACACGGCAGACAATCTCTAAGTGTGCAATGCCCCTTTCTGCCTGGCTCCTCCTGTCTGCTAGGGGCACCATCTGTCTCACGCTACATAAACAATCCCTGCAGGAACCTTCTGATGACCAAACAGATTAGCAACATCCAGATCTTGACACCATTAAAGACATCCCCCTCAGATTAGGACACTGGCCCTCATAACTCCAGAGACAAACTTAGGAACTAAGCTTGCTTTGTTTGTAAGTAAAGTGACTGACATTTTAAAGATAACCTCTTGGCACATAAAGCCATCTGTTGGGGGGGGAGGGGGGAGGGAAAGAGAGAGGCTGACTCTCTAGGCAATAGAAGAAATGAGCCCTTCAGGGAATAGGAGAGGCAGTAAAAAGAAAATCATATTTACAAGGCAAACAAATGCACCAAATTTCACAATTTCTAATAAAAGACTACTGATTACTCAATTTTTCTACTAAATGACAAAGTACACACACACACACACACACACACACAACTCTTCAAAGAAAGAAACAAAAACAAGTTGTACAGTTTGGCAAAGACATACGTACAAGAATTCCGAGTTTGCATGACTCAAGAGGAGCAAAGCAGAAATCTTATCCACAAAGGCTAAAGGCCGCGGTGAAGTTTGCCTCTCGTTCACCTCTGTCCATACGATCACCGACGCTGTCCTTTTCCAAGTTTATTATTGACTGAACCCTTTTAACTCTACTCGCGAGCTCTCTGTGCTGACTCCAAAGGCTCCCAACTCGAAAAGAAAAAACTGTGCCCGTGGCGGTGTCCCTAAAATTAATCATAATAAACGAAAAGCAGCTGAGCGCCGCTCACGGAGAAGAAGACACAGGCATAAGGAGCCAGACCTCTGCAGCTGTACGTCCTCCCAAACGTCTACGTCTAATTCTGCAGCCCGGGTTTCCTCCAGGCCCCAAGCTCCAGCAGAGGATGCTCACCACACATTCCAAACAGAAAGCAAATGAAGCTGCCGCCTCCTCCTCTCCCTCGAGTGATGCTCACAGGAGCCCCCAAGTCCCAGCTCCTGGGGAAATCACCGAATCAGCAGGCGCGTCCGGCTCCCGCCGCCGGTCTGCCGGGCGCTCCGGGGAGCAGAATGTCAAATGAATGACCGACCCCGCGCCAGGGCGCGAGGGAGCCAGACAAAGCCGCCGCCCGCTAGCTACCTGCGGGGCGAGCGCGGGGCACGGGCCGCGCAC